CTCAGCCTGAGCGGGCGCCGCCTCCGGGGCCGCCATGCCGGGGACCCGGGGGGCCGCGCTGTCCCCCGCTCTGGTTTCGGGTCTCAGCTCCGAGGCCTGGGGAAAGGAAGGAGCACTCCAGGGCCGGCCCCGACGCGGCGGCTGACCCCTCCGGCGCCCGCCACATTCCCTCCCTCCGGGAGACGCGCCTGCAGGCCCCAGAGCCCGCGAGATTAGCGCGCGCTCGCACAGGGAAGGACGGGGGAGGCGGGCCGGGGACGGGGCCGGACGTGGGGCGGGGCGTGAGGGCAGGCTGGAAGGGGCGGGGCCAGGAATCGTCCTGGCCAGAGAGGAGGAGGAACGGAGTAGGGGGGCTTGGCGAAGGCCGAGTGCGTACCCGTGGATTGGGCGTGGACAGACCGGGGGCGGGGCCACAACGAAAGGCGTGTGTTTGTGGGCGAGGTCATGGTCGAGATTCCGGGGTGGGCGGGGCTTGATGGAGGGGCGGACCGTGGGCTGCAGATCCTAACCTTCCTTCCTGCACCGCTCCGTGAAGTAGGGGGCTGTGGGTGCAGAATGGATGTCAGGGATACTTTTGTACTTCAGGACACAAGCATCATTTAATTTCAGCTGACGCCCATGTTGCTTGTAGATCACGGGCTTTGCGATAGGATTTGATTACACCCCACTTGAACGTCACCTCTTCTACAGCCATCGACTGCCATCATTTGGCTTTCAGTCTTCTCCAGAAATATTTGATGGACAAATATCCCTGAGAATGGGGTCGCAGTAAAACCTACTGCCAACTCTCTGGCCAAAGACCTTGCTGTGAACTTCCTCCCAAAGATCAATCAGCAGCCTTGCTCTGGTTGTTTATAAGGGGCCAGGGGTAGCTCCACCTCCCAGGGTTTCGGTTTAAGGAAGTCTGCGGGAGGAGGCAGGCTTCCAGCGAAGGGAGGGATCACTGCAGAGGATAGGAATAGAGGGAGAGGGGAGAAAATCCCCACAGCACCCCATAAACCCTACTTTGGGTGCCAGCTTGTATTTCCCATCTTCCCAGCTCTGCTGCCACACACACATCTATTCCTTCGATAAATCTTTACTGAGCACTTAGGGCTGGGGATACAGGGAAACAGCAAATATTATGGCTGACACTCAAGTGAGGAGAGACAGACAACTGACTAAGTAAACAATAGAAGGTTTGATTATGATGAGTGCTTTCAAGAAGAATATAGCAGAGAAGAAAGATAGAGAGAGGTAATTTTAAATAGGTGTTCAGGCAAGATGAACCTGAAGGAGATAAGGGAGCAAGGCAGGTAGAGGTCTGTGAGGAGACCATTTCAGGCCAAGGGAACAGCATATGCAAAAGTCCTGGGGCAGAAGCATGGCTGGAGCAGAACACACTTGCTGCAGAGTGGGGAGTAATAGGAGATGAGATCAGAGAGGCAATTGGGCCCGATCTGTGAGGCCTTGAGGTCATAGAGAGGATTTTGGCTTTTACTCTGAATAGTATGGGAAGCCACAGGAATATTTTGAGCTTGATCTGATTTCCACTGGAGCCAAAATTTTCATTTTTTCAAAAATGATTTCAAAGGAGCTGTTGGAAAAGACTAAGGAGTATTTCTTAGATAGTGCCTACTTTGCAAAGGCCAAAATAGCAGGAAAGAAGTTTCTTCCAGGCACCTCTATCTCAGGTTAGCAATTCTAACTTCATAGGAGATGTTTTTGGTGTTCGAATGACTAGCTTTTGGGGGAGCAGGCCCTGACAAGTGATGGGCAGGGCCAAGAATGCTCAACGGGCTTCAATGTCCTACCCGTCCTCAACTACCAGCTTTACTCTGTGGTGGCTCTGGCTCATGCCCACCAAGGTCTGCATTCTGGCCAATGGGAAGGAGAGCAGGGAGGAAAGTTCTAAGCATGTTTCAAGAACTGTGGGGGATCCTCAAGACCTATTCATAGGATCTGTGACATCATTACTATTTTCATAACACTAAGATGTTGTTTGTCCTTTCCACTCTCATTCTCTTATGAGCATAAAGTGAGGTTTTCCAGAGGCTAAGTGATGGGTGATATTGCAACAGACTGAAGGCAGAAGCAACCCTTGGTTGGGGTGGGTGTTGGGGGTGCGCCTAGGCGATGAGCAGACACTCTTCCAACACCAGCAGTGATGGCTTAAGTGCATTTTATTGGTTTTCTTTCAGAATCCTTCTACAAAAGAGCAAAGTTAAAAACCAAGTCCCTGCAAGAGGGTGAGAACGCTTCTTCTTTCTCAAGAGCCTCCACATCTCCCCATGTTCCCCAGCTGTGTCACTGCTGCAGTTCATGGGGGAGGGGGCTCACTTCTTTCATCCCCCACCAAGCCCTGAAAGAGAAAAGACCTACCACCTAGCAACCCCTGCCCCTCAGCCCCATCCCCCCCACACTGATCCTGGTTACAGGAGGTCATGGTAAGAACTGTTGGGATCCAGTAGAAGTTCTGAACCCCAGAAGGCCATGGCCAGGACACAGTCGGCGAAGAACACTTCATCCTCTGGCTCAGTGCCCCCTAGGAACGCTGTTGGGCCCAGCACCTGGGAGTATAGAAAGAGATCAGTGAAAACCCATCAGCTTCAACCCCAGTGGCCCCAGGAACAAGGGAATCAAGGCTGACACATAGGTTGGGGAGGTTGTACATAGCACAAAGGCACCACATCTCAGCAGGCACCATTATCATCACAGACATCAGACACAGGGTTTACATTTGTCACAAACATTAATTATCAACCATGACCAGCAGCCTCCCCTGCCCCATATCCCCGCTGTTACCACCTCACTCCCAGAGGGCAGCTGCATACTCTCAGGCCAGGGAGGATCAGAGGTCGGAGCCTCATCCGGGAGCTGGTGCAGGTAGATGCAGTCAGACTTGAAGGGGCAGTGGCCATTCCCCCGCATGAAGAACCGGCATCGGATCTGGCTACGAGATGGCAGAAGGAGAGAAGACCATCGCCTTCAAGCCCTGTTGCCTCAGGAATAAGGGGCAGTCAAGGCTGACACACAAGGTTGGGTAGGTTGTACAGCACAAAGGCACCGCAAGCATCATAGTATAGATTTTACATTTATTACAACTATTTTCCAGCAGATGGCAGTAAAGTGTCTTAAGGAATGCCTTTCTCTAATTCCCACAGTCTCTGGGCCAGCTGTGACCCCGGGGGATTCTCCTTTCCTTCTTTGAACTAAGTTTCAATAATACTACCCAAGGGAGAGGGGATAGCAGATAACCCTAAAACGTGTCTCTGTAACCAAGCTAGAACCATGTCCTGTTCTGACGGGTGGTCTTGTGATTTGGTAATTGCTAGTTAATGAAACTGAGTGAGACGTTTCCCACTTCTGAGATTTCAGATTTCACTCTGGGAAAGATACAAGAGGGGTTGTGGGCAACGCGTGATCCACTTAAGTAGGACCAGCTTTCTTCTTGCAGAGAAAGACAGATGAGAGGGAGAAGAGGAGAGAGCGCATGTCTGTAGCCTTTTCCTGCATTATCACTCTGCTTAATTCCAACAGACGAGTCTTCCCCACTTCCTGCAGCCCCAGTGTGAATGCAGGACCCTACTGACCACCCAAGTTGGAGGCTTGGGAATCCCTCTAAACGACTATCCCTTCTCCTCTTCCTCCTCCTCCCATTTGACCAAACCTAGAGTCAGGACCCCCTCCATCCAGATAGCCTACGAAACCCCACTGTCCACCTATCCAAATTCCCATCAGCTTCCCTCACCCAGCTGTCCTGTGAAGCACCAGTCCTGTGGCCACTTCTGCTGGAAACAGTCATCTTAAATCTTCCTTTCAACCTCAAGGTCAGTTGGCCACCCAGATCTGGCCCTTCTTCCTCTTGAGTTAATATCCTCCCTACCATTCCTACTAGTCACACTATGACTCAGAACACCTGGGTTCAAACCCCACCTCCTCACTTAAGTCACATAGACCATGCCTCAGTTTCTTCTTCTGCAGCGTAAGCATGGAAGTGTCCCTACTTCATGGAGTTTATGAGGTGCAAATTCTGTCATACATAACAAACCCTCCATCTACATTGTCTCCTGTCATCCCTGGGCCTGGGCGCTCTCCTCTGGTACCCCAGCTGCCAGTATTTCCCCGTTTCGACCTCTCTCTGCCTGGAGTACTCATATTTTCTCCTCCTGAGGAGCTCCTACTCCTCTTCCAACACCCAGCTCAAATACTACCCCCTCTGTGAGCCTCCCCCAAGTTTTTTTCTCAGTGACTTTGTTGATGCAGCTATTACAGTTCACAGGCAAAATCCAGGTGTCTTCCTAACAAGGTTGAATGTCTCACAGGTAGAGACAAGACATTCTTTATCCTACCCTTTATCCAAATATAATTTGCATATTCCAAGTATAATAAACCCTTTGGGAGAATGGAATTAAGAACCTGGACTTATAGCTACTTCCAGATTTTGCATAAATGCCTACCCTCCCCCAAGAGATTAAAACCCACCAAACTTTTCCCTGTCTCCAAAGGCTGCATTTTAGTCTCCTTCTCAGGGACCTAATGTTTTCAAAGATGATCTAAGCAACTAACATGTATTCATATCAATTTAATTTCCTGCTTAAAAAAAAAAGAAATCAAGCCAAAGCAATCCTGAGAAAAAAGAACAAAGCTGGAGGTATCACAATCCCTGTCTTCAAAATATACTACAAAGCTATAGTAAGCAAAACAGCATGGTACTGGCAGAAAAATAGACACACAGATCAATGGGACAGAACTGAAAGCCCAGAAATAAACCTACACATCTATGGACAGCTAATCTTAGACAAAGGAGCCAAGAACATACAATGGAGAAAGGAAAGTCTCTTCAATAACTGGTGTTGGGAAAACTGGACAGCCACGTGCAAAAGAATGAAAGTAGACCATTGCCTTGCACCATACACAAAACTTAAAATGGATAAAAGATCTGAATGTAAGACCTGAAACCATAGAACTCCTATAAGACAATATAGGCAGTACAATCTTTGACATCGGTCTTAGCAGTATCTTTTTGAATACCATGTCTATTCAGGCAAGGGATACAAAAGAAAAAATAAACAAATGGGACTACATCAGACTAAAAGTCTTCTGCAAGGCAAAGGAAACCATGAACAAAACGAAAAGACAACCCATAAACTGGGAGAAAATATTTGTAAATCATATATCTGACAAGGGGTTAATTTCCACAATATATAAAGAACTCATACAACTCAACAACAACAAAAACAAACAATCTGATCAAAAAATAGGCAGAGGACATGAACAGACATTTTTCCAAATAAGATATATAGATGGCCAACAGGCACATGAAAAGATGTCCAACGTCACTAATTATTAGAGAAATGCAAATCAAAACTACGAGATATCACCTTACACCCATCAGAATAGCTATAATTAACAAGACAAAAAAATAACAAATGTTGGAGAGGATGTAGAGAAAAGGCAACCCTCATATAGTGCTGGTGGGAATGCAAACTGGTGCAGCCTCTGTGGAAAACAGTATGGAGATTTCTCAAAAAATTAAAAATAGAAATACCCTATGATCCAGCTATCCCACTACTGAGTGTTTATCCAAAGAACTTGAAATCAACACTTCAAAGAGGCTTATGCATCCCTATGTTCATCGCAGCATTATTCGCAATAGCCAAGATGTGGAAGCAACCCAAGTGCCCATCAACAGATGAATGGATACAGAAGATGTGGTATATATATACAATAGAATACTACTCAGCCATAAAAAAGGACAGAATCGTGCCATTTGCAACAACATGGGTGGACCTTGCAGATGTTATGCTAAGTGAAATAAGCCAGACAGAGAAAGACAAACACCGTATGATTTCACTCATATGTGGACGATAAACAAACACGTGGCTAAGGAGAACAGATTGGTGGTTACCAGAGGGGAAGGGGGTGGGGGAGGGTGAAAGAGGTAAAGGGGCACATATGTATGGTGACGGATAAAAACTAGACTCTTGGTGCTGAGCACAATTCAGACTATTCAGAAACTGATATATAATAATGTACACCTGAAATTACACAATGTTATAAGCCAATATGATCTCAATTAAATTAAATTAAAAAAAAATAAAAAATCAAAAGCCAAGCAGAGCTTCTCCTCATGCTGAGAGAACCTGAGTTGCCCTGCATTGATCCTGAGTCAGGCTAGAAGACAAACTTGGCCTTGCTCTTCTGCTGCTGTCTCAGTTACTCACCATTATTTACTGGGCTTTCTGAAATAGTGGAAATAGCTCACACCCTCGCCTGCCATTTCCATCACCCTGAACTTCCAGGACTTGGGGGACCCCAGGCTGGGAACCATGGCTCAGCTGGAATGGATCGGGGCTATCTTCTCTTTCCTAACCCCGACTCGTGTTCCCCCTACCAGCCTCACCTGGTCCGAGCCTTGAAGTTCCTGATGAGTTGTTCCTTCTCAGCCCCCTCGTTCACCCAGAATTTGTGGGGGATGATGTAGCTCGAATGGATGCGGCACTGGGGACAGGCCCTGCCAGGTGGGGTGGGGTAGGAGGTGGGAGAATAATAGTCACAAGCCCACAGGCTGGCCCCCAAGCCCATGCCCCTCTGGGGTGTTTCCCTCCTTCCCCCTTGGCCCCTCCGTGACACTGACTTGACGACATCCAGCGGGAAGTCCTGTCGGCTCTTCCGCCAGGTGCGGAGGCAGCCCAGGCAGTGGGCGTGTGTGCAGTTGGGCAGGATGCCAAAGATCCGCTCAGCCTCTGGCTTGTCCCACACTTTGTCCATGCAGATGCCACACATGATGTCCCGACTGTCCTGCTCCCTCTGCAGCCGTAGGCGGGGTCAGAGCACATCTCTCCCACACACACCGCCACCCCAAATACAGCCCCGGGGACCGCAGAGCCCTCCTCCAGCAGGTCTGGGCATCCCAGAGGTCCGGCATGGCATCCTCTGCCACTCGCCCTCCCCTATTACCTGCTGCCCCTCAAGGTCCAGGCTCTGAAGTGGGGCCACGACCTCCCGGACAGGGTCTGACTTAGACTGAGACTCCTGGGAGAAGCTGCGATCGCCGTCAGCAGCTGTCAGAGAAAACTGGATCCATTCACTCATTTACTCAATCGTGGGGCATCTACTGAGCATCTACTGCATGCAAGCCTGTAGAAGCACCAAGTCCTGCCCCTGAGTAGCTCAGAGTCCAGTCAGAATTATAAGTGTCAAATGCAGCTATTTAGAACCGTGCTGTCAATACGGCAGCCACTCGCCACATGTGGCTATTGAGCACCTGAAATGGAGGGAGTCCGAACTGTGATGTGCTGTAAGTATAAAATACACACAAGATTTTGAAGCTTAGTTCCAAAAAAGATTCTAAAATATTTCATTAATAACTTTCTATTGATTACATGTTGGAATGATAATACCCATAATATTGGATATATAATTTTTGATACACTGGGTTAAATAAAATATACCATTAAAATTAATTCCTTGCTTTTTACTTTAATGTTGCTACTAGAAAATTTTAAATTACATATATGAATTGTAAAATGGTGCGACCACTTTGAAACATTTTGGCAGTTCCTCAAAATATTAAACATAGAGTTACCATATGATCCAGCAATTCTACTCCTAGGTATGTACCCAAGAGAAATGAAAATATATGCCCACACAGAAACTTGTACATGAATGCTCATAGCAACATTATTCATAATAGCCAAAAAGCAAAAACAACCCAAATGTCCATCAACTGATGAATGAATAAAACAAAATGTGTTATATATGTTTGTTATACATACAGTAGAATATTATTTGACCATAAAAAGGAATGAAGTACTACTCCATGGTACAACATGGATGAACCTAGAAAATATTATGCAAAGTAGAAGAAACCAAACACAAAAGGCCAGATATTGCATGATTCCATTCATATGAAATGTCCAGAATAGGCAAATCCACAGAGACAGAAAGGAGATTAGTGGTTGCCAGTGGCTACGAGGGGGGCGTGGACGGAGACTGACTGCTAATGGGTTTCTTTTTGGGGTGATGAAAATGTTCTAAAATTAAATAGTGGTGATGTTTGCACAGCTTTGAATATTCTATACAGTGTTACATTGAATTGTACACTTTGAGTTGGTAAATTTTTGGGGTTTTGAATTATATCTCAATAAAGCTGTTACAAAAACTACATATGTGACATATTTCTGTTGGACAGCACTGAATTAGAGCAATAATTTTTTAAAAACCACTAACATTTAGTATTTACTCTGCGCCAGGTACTGTCCTAAGCACATCATATGTAGGAACTCATCACACCTCATACGACCCTGTGCGGTAGGTACTATTATCAGTGCCCTTTTTAGATGAGGAAATTGAAGCCCAGAGAGGTTAAGTGACTTGTCCAAAATCACACAGCTACTAAGTGGTGGAGCTGGCATTTGAAATTAGGTGATTTGATTCCATGCCACCATGGCATTCTGCTTCTAGAACAAGAGACAGCAACAGAACCGGGGGAAAATTTCCACCTAGCTGGCAATCTTGAGGAGGGAGAGGGGTGGAAGGAAATATAAAGCTTGCTCAGAGGCAGAACAGGAACCCTGGTCTCAGATCCCACTTGCGCCCACCTGCAGTGCCCCTGATGACTCACCTGATGGCGACAGGGACTTCCAGGAACTGGCACCAACCTCCTCGGCCTTGCTGGCCAACCCGTCCAGGCCAGGCTCTGTGCCCCAGCAGGCCCTGGTCCAGCCCCAACCCACAGCCACAGAGGGCAGGTAGGTGGGCTCAGAGCCCCTGCGGGTCAGCCCCAGCCAGGGTCCTGGCAGGGTGACATGTGGCTCCGAATGGCGGCGGCCCCACTCCAGATGGCTGCGGGGCTGCTGCGGGTGCCGATAGCTGTAGTAGGGAAGGGAAAGGTGAGGAGACGGGGATAGCCCCTCCAGGGCTCGGAGCTAGCTCAGCCTAGAACCTGGAGCTGTGAGGGAGAAGAGGCTCTGCGAAGAGGCGTGGTCCATGAAGGGATGATTCCTCCTGCGTCCCCCACCCCACACCCCGTTTGAGGAGAAGAGGTGCTTGCCTGCATCGATCTCCGTAGAAACAAAAGCCTCTCTGGAAGTATCTGCAGATCTGGGGCGCCTTCCGGGCTTGAGCAAAGCGGCAGCTGGGCCTCCAGTGACAGGCCCCTTGGGCGAAGTTCCTAAGAGATCATGGGAGTCACGCCTAGCCCCCCTTTAGTTCCTGCCTTTGTGATCCTTCTAGAGAGAGGCTGTGATATAAGAACACAGGCTCCGGAGTTGGTCCTGTGTTCAAATCCCGGCCCTGCTGGATAAACCTGGGTGGGTAACTCAACTGCCCTAAAGCTTGGTTCCCTCACCCTTAAAAACGAGGGTAACAACATCTCACTGTTACCTCAGGCTTGTTGAGAGGGTTGTTTAAGATTTTGCACAACGTGCAAAGCAGGTGCTCAGTCACTCACAGTGGTTATGTCACTTCCTCTAAGCACAGAGTCTCGTGGGTTCAGGAGTCAGAACTCTGGGTTCAAATCCTGGTACCAGGGCTGGCTTCTTGGGCACGGACCTGAATGGTCACACCAGGGCCCCACACTTGCTTTAACGCCCTGCTATTTCCACCTTGAGATTATTACATTTTTGAACAAGGGGACCTGATTTTCATTTTGCACCGGGTCCCACAAATTATACAGCCGGTTCTCCCTGGTCCCACGACTTCTTGGTTGTATGAGCTTAGACAACCTTTCCATGCCTCAGTTTCTTCATTTGTAAAATGGGGATAATATTAGTACCTACATCATGGGGTGATGTCAAACTTAAATGAGATGATGTATGTAAAGTTCCTGGCACATAGCAAGCCCTCAATAAATATGAGCTGTTATCATCCTCATCATCACTACTACTGGGGCTTTTGAGGGTCAGGGTGTGAGGTGGAAAGGGGGGGAGGAGGAGTTGGGCAAATGTTTACTGAGAATTTACTACGTATCCAGGGCTCTGGGTCAGGTACGAGGTAGAGAGGACCTCTGCCCTTGTCGTGTGCTTCCTTGCCTGGAGTGGGGACGAACCCACACGTGAAGTGGCCAGGGCAGCGGGGACGGGGACGGGGACAGAGCCTGGATTCCAGCCTCACGAGAACACAGACTGCCAGCCCAAGCTGAGAGTCTGCCATAGAGTGTCCCATTCCCCTGAGAATGTCCGAGAGTGAGGCCCTGGCAGAGAAGCAGGCAGCGGGAGGGAAAGATGGGCGACAGGCACCTGGTCTTGTTGGTGAAGGTGTCAGATTGACGGTCACATGGCCCTTCATTTACAACAACGTATGGAGCCCCTGCACGATGTGGAACCTGCCTGTGGAGCTCCCACTGAGGTGATGGAGCAGAGAACCAAGAAACCAGGGCCAGGACAAGGCAGAGGCAAGTGAGGCCCTTGCCTTGGACACAAAATTTCAGAGGATGCCAAAAAAACTCAGTAATAAGAAATAATATTTTAGAGAATTTTTTTTTTTTTTAAGAAGATTAGCCCTGAGCTAACATCTGTTGCCAATACTCCTCTTTTTGCTGAGGAAGACCGGCCCTGGGCTAACATCTGTGCCCATCTTCCTCCATTTTATATGGGACGCCGCCACAGGACGGCTTGACAAGCAGTGCATTGCTGCGCGACCGGGATCCGAATCCTGGGCGGGGCCGCCACAGTGGAGCACGCACACTTAATCGCTAGGGCACGGGGCTGGCCCCTAGAGCAATTTTTTTTCAAGATCAAAATTAATGCAAAAAAAAAATTCACGAAGAACAAAATATCAAACTTAATTAAAGACAGGATTCAGGGGCTGGTCTGGTAGTGTAACGGGTAAGTTTGCGGGTTCCACTTTGGTGGCCCGGGGTGTGCCGGTTTGGATCCTAGGCACAGACCTACTCACTGCTTATCAAACCATGCGGAGGCGGCATCCCACATAGAAGAGCTACAACTCTACAACTATGATACACAAACTACGTACTAGGGCTTTGGGGAGACAAAAGGAAAAAAAAAGAGGAAGATGGGCAACAGATGTTAGCACAGGGCCAATCTTCCTCAAAAAAAGAACTATGCTTAAATAGACAGGATTCAACTCTGTACAACTTACCTTACTTGCCTCCCCTAGTACAGGCCCTAAAACAAGGGCACAGATAACCAGGGCAAATGCAGACCATGAAAAGGACTCAGACAGAAATAAACGGCTGGCAGCGTGGGGACTTACTTCAGACAGGGTGGGCAGGGAAGGCCTTTGAGGAGGTGCTAGTAGTAATAATCATTATTACAATGATTATTATTATTACATAATAATATACTTATAATAATAATAGCAGCTGCTGTTGTTATTTTTATGGAAGCCTGTTGGGAGGGCCAGGGGCATAATGTTAAGATCAATAAATAGTACTTTTGGATGATAGGCCACTATGTAATTTTTGGCATTTAATTCAGAGGAAATTCAAATAATTAAGTACTGCTACTATAATAAATCACCTTTCATTTCCATCCACTTATTTATATGAACACGATTTCTCAGTGCTCCCGTTTATAAAAATTAAAAATAGAAATTGATGTTGAACCCTGTCTTATTCTAGCAATAAGTATTATTTATCCATGGATACATGAGCTTTTCTGGGGACGAAAAAAAGCAACAGTCCCATCTACCTCAAGAGAAAATTTTCTAAAGAATATTTTTTGTTATTTAGTAATTATTAAAATGTATAATATATTTAAGTTGTTTTGATCATTTGAGTACTACTAACAACTAAATCTAGAAAAAAATTAAATTTGTTTCTCAAATATTTTTGTTGCAAGAACATAATATTGTGATTGGTAAAAGACTTCCGAGAATAAAAACATTTATATTAGGGGGCCTGCCTGGTGGCATAGCGGTTAAGTTCGTGCACTCGCTCCACTTTGGCGGCCCGGGGTTCACAGGTTCAGATCCTGGTCGCCGACCTACGCACTGCTTATCAAGCCATGCTGTGGCAGGCGTCCCACTTATAAAGTAGAGGAAGATGGGCACAGATGTTAGCCCAGGGCCAATCTTCCTCAGCAAAAAGAGGAGGATTGGCCACAGATTTTAGCTCAGGGCTAATCTTCCTCAGCAAAAAAAAAAATATATATATATATATATATATATTAGGATAAAATTCTGTGGGAGAAGTGGAATAGAATGGGCATTCAAGGAGAAAAAGGAATTATGTAAAACTGTACGAGTCTGTTTATATATTTTTTAAATGGATGACATTATATGTTAAAACTCTCTGGTATTTAGATGCCCCTGGATACATGAAAAGAATAATGTACTTATTCAAATCCACCTGCTCACCTGCTTTTTCGGGTCAGCTACCTCCATAAGTGCATTGGCAGGCCCGAAGCAAGCAGCCTGAAAGACTGTGGGTTGAGATTCTGCACAGAGCTCCAGCCTGTCCCAGCCCACTACCCTGTGATGCCCTGTAGTACTTCTCACTGTCCGGCTGGGAAAATTGAGAACCTCCTGCAGGAAGATTGAGGGCAAGTTCTTGTGGGCTGAGGGCTTTGAACACATCCCTCAAAATCCTGCCTGAAGTGCCAAGCTTGGAGAAGAAAGATGCAGAAATGGTGAAAAGTATTTGATTTAGTGATATAAACTCCCTTTAAAAACATCTTTTAAAAATCTCTTTTGGAAGTAAAAAAGTCATGTAATCATCTTATTTTAAAATGGGATTATTTACAATACATTGGAAATTATAACTTTTGCAACAATTTATGTTTATGATGAAAAACATTAGATAGAGTGTGGAGGGGGATACATGGTTCTTCAACTTTTTTTTAGGAGATTTACAAGTGAAAATGTTGGAAGATGTCTCACCTGGTGTGGGAGTTGAAGGGGGAGTAGACAGGAGGTTGGGTTGTGGTAGGGACCAGATCAGTGGGTGACAGGAAAGTTGGGGAGGGTGGGGTGAGGGGTGGAGGGGTGGGGTGGAGACAAGAGTCACCCTAGAAGGGTAGGGGGAGCCCTGAGAGGAGGAGCCAGTAACCCTCAGAGGAAGGGCTTGCAGGGCTCCTGCCCCCAGTCTACCAGTGGGAAGCCTCTGGGAGGGGAGATGAGCTGGGAAAGCTTGGCCTTTCCCCAAAGACCACCAGTGAGGCCGACCTCCAGGACTGCCTAGAGAGGCCACCACGCTAGCTCCTTCACAAGCTGAGAGGTCCAGTGACAGAGCTTTCCAGCATGTCCAGGGTGCTCTCAGCCCATTAGATGAGTCACGAGAAAAGGGGCTAGAGGCTTTGTGATCAAATGGATTTGAGAAACTCTTCCTCCTGTCTTTTCTTAGAGTTGTGTTATATATTGCTTATTGTACATGAACACATTAAGCGCTCTGATAAGTCATACAAAGGAACCTGTTTAATTCAACCCAGCATCGCTTCACCTCGTTTCTGCTGTTGTTTGTTTAGGCCGTCCACCTACACACCAATAAAACATTTTGTTTGGAGAAATGTCAAATAAGTTTATTTAATCCTCAAAAAAGCCTTAAAAGTTGGGAGTTGGGGCCAGCCTTGTGGAGTAGCAGTTAAGTTCCCGCATTCTGCTTCAATGGCCCGGGGTTCACTGGTTCGGATCCTGGGCCCGGACCTCCTCACAGCTCATCAAGCCATGCTGAGGCAGCATCCCACATAGAAGAGCTACAACTCTACAACTACGATACACAACTACGTACTGGGGCTTTGGGGAGAAAAACGAAAAAAGAGGAAAGATTGGCAACAGATGTTAGCGCAGGGCCAATCTTCCTCAAGAAAAAAAAAAACTTGTTAAAAAAAAAGTCAGGAGTCCTTTTTTGTTTTCAAAATCTGAGGCTCAAAGAGCTGAAGTCGCTGGCCCAGGGCTCGGAAGAAGAGCTGGGACTATGGCCCAGGTGTCCTCACTCAGCCCAATACTTCTCTAGTTAACCAAGATTGACTTGTCAGGAGTGAGGGCTGCTGGATTGGGGGGATTTCTCAGGCCAGGTTCTGAGGCCCGGGGGTGGGGACAGAGCAGCCAGAGGTCACAGGTAATCCAGTCCTGGGGAGGCAGCAGAAGGGGCTCGGTGCCTGGAGGGCTGGAGCAGCAGCCCCCTGAGCAGTGAGCCTGGGGAATCAGAACGGGACTACTAGGGGGTAGGGGTAGGACAGGGACTGAGGAAGGTAGGGCTGGGGACAGTAAGGCGGGAGGCGGAGGCTGCCAAATGAACCCCCTGACCCGGGTTTTTAAAACTCAAGTCCCAAGCTCAATCTAGACTGCCACCCTCCTGGCCCTGCACAAAGCTCAGGAATGAACCATTAAAAACCTCCTTTCATTTTTTTCTTTTTTCTTTTGCCTCCCTCTTGCTACCTGGCTGCCTTTCTTCCCAGCCCGGGAAAACCACTTCACACTGCGACCCTAAGATCCAGTTATCCCTCCTTTACCCAAACTTCAGTTCCCTCTGGGGAACTGATCTCTTCCAGCTGTTGGCAAAACGAATTTGTGCAAAGGTGTGAAAATCTGACGGTGAGCTAGCGTGCCCTGAGACAACTCTCTCAGGGTGTGATGTTCAACCCAAAATGTTTCCATTCAAACACCTATGAACACCTGGCACGATGCTAAGCGCTGGGGCTACAAAGGCGACCAGGAGACCAGATCCCACCTGCAGGGAGCTGTTTGGTGTTTCCGGGCAGAGAAGCCTTTGTTGGATGGAAGAGAAAGAAGGCAAGTGGGGAATCCTTGCCCTAAATCATGAGACCCTGGAGCTAGCCCTGACTCAGCTGTGCAACTGTGGTATGTGTTTTCCCCCTCTGGTCTCAGTCTTCTCTGGACTATGAGGGAGTGGGAGATGACATCTAGACCCTTCCAACATTGGGATAGAGGGCAAGGAAGTCCCTCCTGCCCTAGATGCACCCCAAATTCTTAGAGCCTAGGCTTCTAATGGCCAGGCCAAACCCCAAAGAATTTTCTCCCACGTTCCCTGTGTTCCCGTGAGACCAAGACCCCTACCTGTATGGCTGCTGGGGGTGGGGGCTGCTCTCCCCACCACGGCCGCTGCCATCAGGCGCTCCAGGATCCATCCCTGCTTCAGCCCCTGATGAGAATCAGGCAGGGCTGCTCTGGTGCTCCTTTATCCCTCCCTCTCCGGGCAGGGCCAAAGGGAGGAGGGGCTCCTCGGCCAGGCCTGGCCCTTGCCATGGCCCCAGGCCTGCAGGCAGGAGGGAAGGAAGGTGGAGGCAGGACGGCTGGGAGCCTGGGGCTTGAGCTGCTCAGTCCAGGCTCCAGGATGTGGGTGGGGTGGGGCCTGAAGGCCCTCAGAGATCCCTAGGTGACTACTGGAAGAAATTGGGGGATGGTTTAAGAACTTTAAGGATCCAGGAGTGCAGGGTGACTTGGGAGGGGGCCATGAGGACCTGGGACTGAGAACCAAGGACCTGGGAGGCTGGGATCCTGGGGCTGCAGAAGTAACTTGTGATATATGAGAGGAATTTGTAACTGAGGAGGCCAGAGGGGAGCCTCCCCCACCCCCAGGACTGCGTGAACCCCATATGTGGAGCTGAGGTTGGTAAAGAGATCAGAGGGTGGGCTGGGAGCCTTTGGAGCCTCCAGGAGGTGGTGTGAGCCAGACATGGGGCGCAGGGAGGCCTGTTCCAGAGTGGCCATGTACTGAACAGATCCAGGAGGCTCTGGGGACCTGCCTTCAGGCCCAAGATGTTCTTTCTGCAAAAAGTCACCATGGCCTGGTCTGAGTTTGTCAATGAAGCCAGCTTGCTATCCTGATCACAAGAAATTAGAAGAATGTCAATGCCTCAGCAAGGGCCACCATGAGAGGGGCCAGGAGGGAGGTTGCCTGGAGCTCTGTCCAACAAGGACATTCCAAATTGGATGGTAGCAAACCAGCCAATCAGAGCCTCTCTCTTGGGCAGTGTAAACACCTGGTATATTCAGAGCCTGCAGTGGGGAGAACAAGGGGCTGGGGCCATTGAGAGTAAGAGCCCTTCCAACTCTGACTATTCCTAAGATCCCCTTAACTCCCATCTTACTCCTCCAAAGCTCGTGCTCTCTTCACTAGACTGCACTGCCCCATGTGGGAGATAAGTTGGGAAAGTTAAAAAAAGACCAAATAAGAGGAATTCACTTAAAAGTTAAAGGAGAGATTTTTAAATTGAATTTAAACAACTTCCTGTGTCTATCACTAAATTGAGACACTAGATTGGGAAACCAATAGTGTTGGACATCTTTGTTATTTCTTGTACTTTTGCTGGATCAAAATTATTAAAAAAATTTTTTTATAGGTGCTGCCAGTCTGCCCTCTGTGGAAGCTGTGCCAGTTTATACTCCCATCAACAGTATGAGAGTGTCTGTTTCTGCACACCCTTGCCAACACAGCGTGATCAAACTTGTTAGTATTTGTTAATTTGGTAAGTAAAAAAAAAAATTTTAATTTATATTTCATAGTTTATATTTCTCTTACTATGAGTGAGATTAAGCATCTTTTCATATGTTTAAGAGACATTACCTTTTCTGTTTATATCCTTTGCCCATTTTTCTATTGGGTTGTTGACCTTTTTACTCATTGATTTGTAGGTACTCTTTATATATTAAGGAAATTAGCTGTTTGATTATGTCACAAATTTTTTAACATGGTTGATGTTTTTCCCCCCCAAAGCCCCAGTATATAGTTGTATGTCCTGGCTGCACATCCTTCTAGTTGCTGTATGTGGGATGCGGCCTCAGCATGGCCGGAGAAGCAGTGCGTCAGTGCGCGCCCGGGATCCGAACCCAGGCGGCCAGCAGCAGAGCGCGCGCACTTAACTGCTAAGCCATGGGGCCGGCCCTAACATGGTTGATTTAAATTGTGACAAAAACATTTTACAATAGACTTTTGAAAGATCTATCTACTTCAAGATTATATAAAAAACTTTCCCATGTGTTTCTTCTAGTTCTTTGTTTTTTGTGTTTTTTTTGACACTGTATGAATATGTCAAGTTTATCCATTTTCCTGTTGATGAACATTTTTGTTGCTTCCAAATTTTTGCTATTGCTGCGATGAACGTGTACACAAGTCTTGGTGTAAATTGGTGGGTTTCACTCTAGGGTATTGTGTCAAGCTTCTCCAGGAAATAGATTTGGAGGTTTACTTGCAGAACACTCATGGGGAGTGTTCTTTGCAAGAACACCTGTGAGAAATTGAAGGGAGCAGGATTGGGTAGAGAGAGAAGTTAAACTGCAATGTAGTTACAACAGGAGCCTCAGCTCTGTAGCTGGGATGATCCTTCAAGTTGTCCCAAATGGGGGCAAAGAGGCTTGGTCTCATACCCCGATGTTGGCTGCAGGCTGCCCCTGAGGAGGTGGTGTGCTTGTCCCGGGCAAAGCAGCTCCCTTCTGTAAGGGCCGTTTCCTGAGATGAACACAGCTGTGAGCTCAGCAGCCAATTCTCCCAGCAGCCATGGAAATTCCTGCCTGGGTTGTGAGGGGTGGAACCTGGGTGATACCCCACAACCACAGGCACATTTTAACTTCACTAGATTTTGCCAAATTGGATTTCAAGTTGATTATACCAACTTCTACCCCCTTGTGGTATATGAGAATTTCTATTGCTACTCTTCCTTTCCACAGTTTCTCTCTTAGTTTTCCTGTGCTATCTTTTGGATAATTTCTACAGATCTTTCTTGAGGTGCAAAAATGACCTCTTTGGCTGTGTCTGATCTGTTTTTTAACTCATTTTTTTCTTTTTTCTGGAAGTTCCAGGTATTTCTTTAAAAATGTTTCTTTTTTTTTAAAGCAAATTATTCCTTTCTTGTGGTTTTGATTTCTTCTTTATATTTTTAATAATATAAAACTTATTTCTCTCCTATAATCAACAATCATATTTTTTGGAGCCCTAGGGCTCTAATTTCACTGACTGTTTTGTCTGTTTATTTTCATGCAGCCTTGTTTCTTCGTGTTTGTAATTTTGTGGGAATTCTGTACTGCTTGTATCTGTCCTCCAGAAAGATTTTGCATCTGCTTCTTCCAGGCTCCCCAGGGATATTACCACCTTGGGATCCTACTTCTTTCTTTTTTTTTTTTAAATAAACTTTTTATTTCAGAAGAGTTTTATAGAATTAGTGCAAAGATAGTATCTTCTAATTCTCTTAAGATTGCTTTCTTCTGTTTTGGTCTAAATATGTGATTCATTTGTCCTGAGCATCATTAAAAAGAGACCAGGTGACCAACTATTGTCTCCAGGGTATTGCTCATGAGTAAAAAGCAGAGATCCTAAGGCCCTGGATTAATACTGGCTATGCCTCATCCTGGCTGAGCAACCCCACACACACTCCCCAAACTCTCTCATTGTGCTTCCTCACCTGTAAAACGGCAGGTGATAATATTTACCTTATAGGGTTGTGGTTGAGGATTGGAGGTGATGTATGTATGTCTGGCACAAAATAGGTGCCTCATAAAGAGTATCACTCAGTGATAGTAATAACAAGGGGCCGGAGTAACACGATGCTGTCTCTTTGCAGGACCAGAAGCCAGGTAAATAGAAAGTGGTAAGGACACTTAGCTTCACCTCTCCGAACTGAGTTATATCTAGTTATTTGGTATCCTATACTCTTACCTCGTTAGTGATGGGGAGAGGACTGGCCTTTAACAACTGAGCCACAGTCTTCAATATTTTTCTCCCACCTGATGGTGCGGGAAGATAGGGAGGTGAGAAACATAAACCAAGCAAACCATAAGATTCCATCATAAGCAAGGCTATCAGTTTCAGAGATGCCCCTGTGCTAAGTATTCCTCCCCTTTTCCTCCTATTCCCCTGCGACTGTCACTCTCCTGGCTGACATGAACCATATGAGACTCGACAAAGTTCAGATTGCTCTGTCCAGCCAAAGAGAAAACAGGGAGGCAAGTGTCAGACTTGACCATCACCTTAAGCTGTGAGCCTACCTGAGACAGCTCAGCTGGGGCTGGTGTTTGTACTTGGTGCTAGTTATTCGCTGGCTCTTGGCTCCATCCCTACTCTTCTAGGCGCTCCTCTATACCTCAAGGGCTGGAAGTCTGCAAACTACACTTCCTAGACTCCCTTACAGTTATTTTTTTAATGGAAGGTCTGGGCAACAGACTGGAAGACAGGGAGAAGGGAGAAACCGCCCTCGTCCCCCTGACTCTGACGGTACTTCTGGTAGGAGCAGCTGAGTTCAAACTCCAGGCTTCTTGCTCAAGCGATGAGGTCCCAGGGGTAGCAGCAGTGCTGGTGGCCGCGAGCACCCTGGCAGCCCCAGGGGTACAGTGTGCGTGGACTCTGATTCTACAGTCAAATCAACAGGCAGCTGTCTTTCTGCAGGATCAGTGGGTGTTCCAGGGATGGTGGCCTCTAGATACCATTTTCCCATCCCGCCCGGGCGTCGGGGGGAGAGTGGCTTCCCGGTTACTAATGTCTGGATGACCTCAGTTTTCCCCCTTTGGATCTTTCAGTCCTTTCAACACTTTTGTAACAATTCCCTGTAGTAAATTCCCCACTTCGAAATATTTAGTGGTGGTGGTTTTCCCAGCTAGAAAGTGCTAAAACATACCCTGAACCTCTCACACTGCAGCCAAGCCCACTGGCTGCCAAGGGCTGGGCTCGCCTGGAGCCTCTGTGAAGATAGCACCCCTGGAAGTAAAGAAGAAAACTGGGGTGTTGGCTAAGGAGAGGAAAGCCCTGATCTCTTGTGAGGGTGGCAAAAAGCTGACAGCGAATGACAGGCTTTGGCTTTGCAAGGCCCCCCTGCCAGAGGGAGTCACCTCCTCCAGGATGCGTCTGAGACCCTCCCAGACCTCCCTCATACCCATCCCTGGTGTATCCAGGGTGTATCTTCTCCCCCTCGCACCCCAAATTCTCCTTGCAGGGTAGGAAAGGCATCTCTCAGTCCTCGACAACCCTTGCTGAGTGAAGAGTGGGAGCAGAGCAGGAGTTGAGGGGGACGATGGGCAGTTCCCACAAGCCAGAACTGACCCTCCCGGCCAGCACCCCAAAGTCTTATTTGCCCAACCAATTTTCTCCCTCTGTGCACCGGATATGGAGGGGGGGGAATCCTATCGGCCCTCAGGAAAAACACGTAAAGAACTGAGTCAGCCCAAATCAACTCTTAAATATTTAATTTCCATTTATTTAAAGTTCTGTCAGTCTGTGTACACTATTTATATTAAAAACACAGGAAGCTGGGGCTCCTAGCAAAAATATACATTTCAATTTTGGAGATTGTTCAGACACTGAGAAGAGCTATATTCTCAGCATCAGACCTGGGCGGGGGATGCGGACGGGCGTGTGGCGGGGAGGGGCAGGTCAGGCACAGCATCTCTTTCTTCACAGCGCTGGCCAAAGGATGCACCCAAGCCAACTCCCTGGTCAGCAGAGGGTGGGAGGGGAGAGGGAAGAATCCTGCCAACAGAGAGTGGTTCTGGGGCACAGAAACCACAGCACTGGCAGGGGCAGATGGAAAGGCCCCTTGGGAAGGAGGACCAGACAGGAGCCAGGAAGCCTGGGCTCTAACCACTCGTCTTCCACTACCTTTCTCAGAGACCCCAGCCAGCCCGCTCTCTGGAAGAGCAGCCTGGGCGGGCTCTCTACCCTCCTGCTCAGACACAGCACTCACACTACCCTTCAGCCACTCCTCTGAGGCAAGTGCACTTCACTTGGGAGGAGAGGGAGGGTAGGGGAAGGGGCCAGAGGAGTGGGACTGGGCCCGCCAAGATCCCCGGTCCCCAGAGGCTGTGCAGGGAGAATTCTGGGGGACCAGCTGGGCCGAATACAGGGGTAAGGAGGGGAGCAGAACTGCCGGGACAAATGGACGTCACAATGAATAGGATCAGTTTACCCCTGGCACCCCCTCCACCGAGCAGGTGCTTGGCTGACTCAGCAGGACACCTCTGCCCACCAAGGGATCTGCCCTAGCCCTGGGGACAGGGTCACAGCTCTGCCCGTCCACCTGTAGGCCCCTCTGGGCGCCCACCTGCCTCGGGGCGGGGGGGCCTGCAGGTAAAGTGCCTGTGGTGTGTGCTGGAGAGGCAGCTACATGGAGTGTGCATGGGCGTGTGTGTGGGGTGTGAGCGTCAGCTGGGCTGGAGCCAGTGCCAGCGCCGCCTGGCTGGAGAAAGGAGCATCACGTTTGAGGCCAGGCCCTGGCACTGAGTGGAGAGATGGGAGCTGTGGTGCTGACACAATGTAGGCAGGACTTGGTGGCTGCTGCAGAGTGGTAGGAGAGTATGATGGGGGCTGACCCCAAAGCCTGGGGTCAGAATTAGGTGTACTGCTGGCTGCCTTCCCTACCAACCTCCGCCTCCCTTGAGACTCACTCATCTTTAATGGGGGCATGGAGGCCGCCACCTGGAGGGAACCCCACCTCCTTCCAGGCGGCGGGGTGTCCCCCAGCGGCCAGCGCAGGGGGCCATCAGCAACACTGGCCTGGAAGACCCATGAAAAGAACAGAAAGAGCGCTGGGTATCAGTGGGGCTGGGGTGTGCTGCTGGAGTGGCGTCGGCTGGGTCGGGGGTGCCAGCCTCAGCCTCAAGAGGGCATGACAGTCTAGGGAAGGCGTCCTGGCCCTCGGGGCAGGGACCCAGGGACTAGGGGCTGCTGCTGCAGTCAGCCCAGGCCCTGCTCGGCTTCCCCAGGAAGCCGGGCCCAGAGAGCTTAGTGTTTCTTTGGATGGCTCGAGTCTTTTGATATGAAGACAGGGGCAGAGGTGAGGCCCCTACCCTTGCAGGTGACTGTTAGTGCAGAGGGCAGGCCCCACTTCCTCCTGCTCTGGGGGACAGGGGGCAAAAGCAGAGGTCCTGTTCTATGCTGCTGGTGAAATAATACAAACTGTCTCACAGAAAGAGAAAGAGGGACAGATATGGGGATGGAGAGAGAAAGGGAGGAGGGCAGAGGGAAAAGAAACCTACAGAGAGAAAGGAAGAGAAAGAGCAAAGAGATTAGAGAAGAAAGAGGAACTAAGAAAGAGGGAGACAAAGGAAGGGAACACAGGGAGCGAGAGGCCGTGTGTCTGAGCGCACGGGTGTGTGTGATCCCACTGCTTGGGGGCCATGCGGAGTGCTCAGGGGCTGGTCAAAGGAAAATCCCGTGGGTGGCGCCTGTGCCAGCTCTGTCCGCCTGCTCCTGAGTCTCAGTCTCCTGGAGGCCCGCTGGGAGGCCCTGGGCGCATCCCTCAGTACATGTCCTTGTAGATCTCCTGGAGCAGGGGATGCAGTGAGGTCTCCGTCTCGGTCTTCTTGATCCGCTGCATCATCTGAGCGTGCTCGGTGACCAGCTGCCGCAGGTCAGCCATCTTCTGCAGCAGCTTGGGGAAGAGGTACTGGGCGTCGGGGTGGTTGGCCTGCAGGTGGAACTCAAGGGCACGCAGGATGGTGTCCTGGATGGCCTCCACCTGTGGCACGTTCATGAGGCCTGGCCGGTCTGTGGGGACACAGGGCAGGGGTATAGGAGGGAGCAGGCACACGTGAGGTCTCAGAAGGGCAGGAGAGCTCCCCTCCCACACCTCATGTGGGTGACTTGGCCAGGGGACAGCAGGCCTCCTGGCTGTGACAGACCCAAGCCCTGTCCTGTCAGTGACCACCCCACTGAGTGTTCTAGTCCCCCCACCTCTGTTCCTGGCCCACCTCCTTTGTTTTGTTTCTTTTCCTGACTAGGCAGTATAGTACTGTGGTTAAGAGACTCACTGCCTGGATTCAAATCCTGTCTCTACCACAGACTAGGGATGAGGCTAGGGGAAGGTCACTCGGCCTCTCTGGACTTCAGTTTCCTTATCTGTAAAATGGGGATAACAGAAGTACTTCCCGCACAGAGTTGTCAGGATCAAATGAATTATCATCTCGGAAAAGGTACTAGAACAGTGCCTGGCATGAAGTAAGCTCTATGCCACTGTTAGCGTGATTATTATATTTATTGTGTTGGAATTTGAAAACTGCAGGTAAAATACAGAAAAACTCTCCACCACCAGAAATAACCTCCATCAACATGTTGGTATATTTCCTTTCAGTCTTTTTTCTATCTCAACTCCATCTATATAAGATGGAGCTTGCCCTGTGTGTACCCTGAGTGCCTTGCACATTCCACTGCCATCACCATATGGACACTGCCCCACGCTGTCCGAAGTTAGGCTGTGCACCCTGCAGTGAGAGCCCGACCCCCAGGAGGGCTGGCTGTGTGGGGCTGGCCCACCTGCCCCACCCTCACTTACCTCCGCACAGAATGATGGCCGCAATGAAGAGGGCCAGGTCACTGTCATCAAGTTCCAGGGCGTTGAACTTGACAGCAAACTCGAACTTGGGCTCAATGATGTCACTGAAGGGCTTTCGGAGGCTGCGCAGGAACTCACGGGTGACAAAACCAGTGCCATTGGCCACCAGCAGCCCATCCTTGTTGATGATGGAAGCCAGCATGGCGAAGATGGCCTCATGCACACCATACTTGAGAAGGGTCACCTGGTCGTTGAGGAAGAGGTTGCTGAAGCTGGGGATGCTCTTGGCGAACTCGGTGAGCTCACGCACAGTCTCTACTGTGGTGCACTGGCAGCGGTAGAAGACATGCACGCTGATCTCCTTGTAGGGTGGCAGGCCATTCACCAGCTGCTTCCACACCAGGCCTTTCTCTGCCTGCCACAATGTCTCGATGTCGTGGATCACAAAGGGCTGAAAACCAGGCCCCATTAGAGGCCAGGCCTTGGGGCACTCCCGCCCATGTGCTCCCCATACCCCTGCTTGTACCAGGAAGGTAGGGAAGGAGGCTTGGTTTTCCCAGGAGCCGGGCAGGTGGCAGTGGGGCCCAGAGCCCGGGATGCTGCCAGGCCAAGCAGTAACACTCACCGCTGAGTGGCTGGCCTTGCCGGTGAGGATGCCGCGGGCCTTCTTTTTGGTCATATTGAAGTTTTTCAGGTAGGCATTGTAGATGTGCTTGGAGAAGGCCTTCAGGTCAGCCACCTGGGGGTTGTGCTGACTCCCCTCACTTGCTGTCAGCCCCGCCACCAGCTTCCTCTTCTCAGCCTCTGGCATCCGGCCAAAGCGGATGGCTGCATGGGGAAGCGGGGGGACAGTCATCGAGGAGACCAGGCAGGAGCCAGCACCTCTAACCTCCTTGTCCCTCTATAGGTACATAGGCCAAAAACGGAGACCCACTTTTTTTGGGGGGGGGAGGGTGAGGAAGATCAGCCCTGAACTAACATCCGTTGCCAATCTTCCTCTTTTTGCTGAGGAAGAGTAGCCCTGAGCTAACATCTGTGCCCGTCTTCATGGCTTGATGAGCAGTGCGTAGGTCCGTGCCTGGGATCTGAACCTGCGAATCCTAGGCCGCAGAAGCGGAGTACATGAACTTAACCACTACACCATCGGGCCGGCCCCCTGGAGATACACTTTTTGAGCCCAGGGCCCTCAGAAGCTCTAGCGCCAGCAAGTTAGACTGTTGGGGAACCCCTCCAGAAGGGAAGCTCCAGGAGGATAGGGATTCTGTCTTGTTCACAGTGCCCGGCACACGAAGGCCTTAACTCACAGAGTGACTGACCACTCTGGCTGGGAGGTGGTGCACTGTGGCAGGGAGGGAGACAGTCTCTGGCGTCAAAGGCCCGTGCTTGAGTTCCAGCTCGGCAGCTGACTAGCCATGTGACTTTGGACAGGCTACTTCACCTTTTTTCTTAAGAAAAATGGGGCTAATACTTAAATCTCACTGGACTGTCAGAACAATTAAATTTATTCACACAGTAAGTACTCAAAAACTGTAGTAATTAGTAATGGAACAGGACACGAATCTGGCTTCTCTCAGAGAAGAAGTGAGAAGAAGAATTCAGTCAGCCCTGAGATCTCCTAGGAAATCCCCTCACCCCACCGAATGGGGCCAGGCAGATATGCACTGGCAGAGGGATCAAACCCCACACTGCCAGACCCTATCACCTAGGAAAAGCTGCGGATGGAGCACTCAGATCCTGCCACCCTCTATGATACAAGACAGTTAGGGTGTCCATGGGTAGACACATCTAAACAAGAGGCTCTCCCCTGTCCTCTGGGGGTCTGACCTAGAGGAGTAAAGAGGAGGCAGGTGGGCTTTGCAAAATCCTACTTTATGGGGTCTGAAGACAAGACTGCAGGAGGGCTGGAGCACAGGGCAGGGCAGGCTCTGTCTCCCAGGAGCGGCTGGCCTCCAGGAAACTCCCGCCTGGCTCCTGGCAGCTGACACAGGTGGTCACTTACTGGCTCCTGCCCACCCTCAATAACCAAGAAGGGCTGAGGGGATCCCAGGCCTTGATAGGGGCTTTTCATGCTGTGTCAGGTCATCTGAGACAGGCTTGAGGTTCTGGGAGTGGTATTTCCAACACCACTGGAGCTGGGGTCAATTCCCAGTTCCCTTCTGGGCCAGAGAGGGCGAGCCTCAGTTACAGACAGGTGGAGCCTGCTCCCGGCCTGGGACCCGTGGGGGATCCTGGGCAGTGTGGGGAAGGCAGATCTGAGGCCAGCTTGCGCTGGCTCCAAGACTCAGGGTCCAGATGAGCGAGGGCAACAGCTGATACTTACGCAGTGCTTCCTGTATGCCAGCACTGCTCTGAGGGCACCCCCCTTCTGGGCTCCCTGAAGCCTGGCTTCAGGCCGTGTGGAGCCACAGCCCCTGTGCCTTGCCCGCTGGGTTCTCACCATTATGCGACATGCCCAGCGCCAGGCATTTCTGGAAGCGGCAGTACTGGCACTTGTTGCGGTTCTTCTTCTGGATCTTGCAGCTCCGCTCGCACTTCTCATACTCTAGCTTCATGCGGATCGTCCGACGGAAGAAGCCCTGAGGGACAGTGAACAGGGGAGGAAAAGCCACAAGGAAGGGAGCGGTTAAGAATCCTGCTCTGCCAGAGGGCCCAATTATGCATAAAAATGTAAAAATTCCTGAAATTTGGAAGTAATAGAGGAAATTCTTTTGGAGCGAAGGAGTAGGAAAGTAACTCTAAAACTTTTGAAATAATTAAAATAATATGCCATATTTATTTCAAATGCTTGTTAGTTTGTTAACATAAAATTGTATTGTAGCTAACTTGATTTATTCATAAATGTATCTGGTTCTGTGTATTTTCTAGGTAATGGTTTAATAGTGCAATTTTGAGAGGTGTGCAGTTAGGAGGAAGAACCCAAAAGCACCAATGGAAAAAGAAATGTAACATTTCCTTTTTTTTTCCAAAGAGCCCCCTTCAGGCCTTGAGGCACAGAAAACCCTCACCTCAGGAAGCCAGCTCAGCCCAAGACCCTCATTCTGTCCTGCCTGTCTTCTTGAGGCAGGTCCCCAGGGGGCGCCAGCAGCCCAAAGAGTCCAGGTGAGTGGCTGTGTCAGCACAGCAGGCGCCCAGCAGGGCAGGCCTGACAAAGGGACCCCTCCTCTCCAGCAGGACCCAGAGCCTGGAATGGGCCCCAGGGCCTGGCTGCCTCCCAGGTGGGAATCTCCCAGTGGGTATTGTAGGGGCCCTGCCCTGCATCAGGGAAAGCCTTTCTGGTAGGTCAACTCACCACATGACCACAGCCCAGTGGCCAGCCAGCACCCCCCACTGCCCATACCTTGCACCCCTCGCACGCGTGAACACCGTAGTGGAAGCCTGATGCCTTGTCCCCGCACACGCGGCACTCCATGTTGAGGCTGCCACATGACGCCCCGTCACAGCCCATTTGCAGCTGGTCCAGCAGTGAGGGTGGCGAGGAGCTCCGGGAGAGGTCTGCACACACACAACACAAGGGTGGCTTCACATTCTGCCAGGCCTAGGGGCCAGGGGAGGTGACTAGAGCCTATGGGGCAGCACAGGTAGTGGGAAGAGCCCATGTTTCTGAATCACACAGCCCTCGGCTCAGCCACTTAAGAGCTATGTGGCCTCAGGGAATCAACCTTTCTGAGGATCAGTTTCTTCATCTAGAGCATGGGGTTAATGACAGCTTCTCTGGGTGAAAAGTTTCCAAAGCACTTCCCCCAGACCTGACACAGGGCAGGTGTTCTGGAAGTGGCAGCTATTACTATCTGGGGTAAGTCAGAGCCTTCCTGGGCTGAACTCACCATTGAGGAGGAGAGGGTGTCAGGGGACGGCTGTGTTTTGGGAGGGGAGCAAGAGGAAGAAAGCAGACAGAATCTCTTTAGACAGTCCTTAGGAAGTGGCTCCCCTGGCTTAAGAGGCTCCACTGTGTGGGCCAACACGGGGTTGTATGAAATGTGTTTTGTGGAGACTGCAGAAGTGCAGACATCTGCAGAGCCACCCCACCCCCCTCCGAGATTCAATTCTTGCATGGACTCCAGAGATGCTGTAAAGGATCTCTCAAGAAGCTCAAATTCATTCCCATGAAACTTCTTGCTTCAGTAGAGTGTAGGTATCAGTCACGTTGACTGAGCAGCATACTGAATTTCCCCAAGTTTTTTTTATTAGATGTACAGATGTTTGGGGCCAGCCCCGTGGCGTAGCAGTTAAGTGCACGCGCTCCGCTGCTGGTGGCCCGGGTTCGGATCCCGGGTGTGCACCGACACACTGCTTGTCAGGCCACGCTGTGGCGGTGTCCCACGTAAAGTGGAGCAAGATGGGCACGGATGTTAGCCCAAGGCCAGTCTTCCTCAGCAAAAAGACGAGGATTGGCATGGCTTATCTTCTTCACAAAACAAACAAACAAAAATGTACAGATGTTTGAGTTAGGTGTTGAGAGTGTTGGCCAAGGCAACAACTTCAGGGTACACGTGCCGTCAGATGACTTAGTAAAGAAGTGCTGGGAGTCTCTCCTTTGGACACTCAGAAATGAGCCCTTTCCTTATAGGAGACCTACACTGAGCCCCAGTGTCCTGACTCCCAGCCCACTGTCAGCTGCATGACCCCATGTGCCACGTGTCCTGCCTCTGCCATGCTGGCTGCCAATCTGCTATTCTCTGCTCTCTTCCCTGATGACCGAGCAACCTCCTCAGGGGCAGGGGCCAAATCCCCAACCCAGAGAATCAGTGGCTTAGAGCGGGACGGCAGCCCACTCTAACCTTTTCCAGGCCTGCATTCCCATCTCGCTACAACACAGGTCACTCTGCAAAAGATCTTGATTACCCTACCATAGAGTAAGGCCCCCAGATCCAAGCACACTCCACTCCTCCCACACCCTCCTACTCACTTCCCCAGCCCCACCTCGGGTCCTAGGCATGACAGCAGGAAAGCCTCCAGCCAGACTCCATCCCAGCCACAGAAAGTGGAGCAAAAGCACCAGATCACAGGAGTGGACCCAGCAGCCTGCTCCCCTCCTGGGCTGGTGAGGGTAGAGGTGACCAGTCCCTGGTTCCTAAAATGGCCTATCCTGTCCCAGAGCCTCAGCTCCCAACCTTCAGTCATTCCAAATGGGGTGTAACAGCCCCCTGAACGCACAGACGGGGGAGAGTGGGCTCCCTCCGTTTCCTGGGCATGGTGCTGCGGGGGTGCCTGTAGCCTGAGAGGGCAAAGCTGCTTTGATCTTCTCAGTAGCTTCTGTCACCACCTCACAGTCTATGTGTGTTTACGCAGTGTTGGGCACCCCTCACTAGAATGTAAGGGCCACAGGGCAGGAACTGTCCACCAGGGCACTGCTTCTGGAGGCCGAGCAGGCACACAGGGACTCTGTAGAATAAGCCTCAGTGACTCAGGCTGCCTGGGCATCCCGGCCTCAGCAACTGGCTGGAGAGGCTGGGCAGGATCCGCCACTCCTGGAGGCATTATAATAGGGGGAATCGAACTCACATTATCAGTTGTTGGGAGAGAATGAGATAACGTGTAAACACCCTTTGTAGACACCCGTTCTGATGCTGAGCAGGGAGGGTTTCCGGCACTTCCTCCTCAGATCTGTGTGGTTTGTGTACATGTTCGCTTTGCAGCACTTCTTGTAAGCAGTGTTGTTTTTGTGGCTTGCACGTCTGCCTCCTCTGCTAGACTTGGCACGTCTCTAATCACGCTCCCTTGGATCTCAAAGCCCACCTGCCCCACCGAGTCTTGTCCACAGTGACCAATCACCTCAGACTGCTCCCACCTCTTGGTGGTGCCCTCCTCATTCTCCCTCATGGCCCTGCAGGCCTGGCAGGTGTCTGGTCATTTGGCTGCTGTTGGCACTGCATGTGGCAATGCTATTCTTTTTTTTTTTTGGTGAGGAAGGTGAGCCCTGAGCTAACATCCATTACCAATCCTCCTCTTTTAGCTGAGGAAGAGTGGCCCTGGGCTAACATCTGTGCCCATCTTCCTCTACTTTATATGTGGGACGCCTGCCACAACATGGCTTGATAAGCGGTGTGTAGGTCCGTGGCCGGGATCCAAACCACCAGGCCGGCCCTGCTACCCTCTCTTTTCATTCAACAGACATTTGATGAGCGCCTGCTGTGTGCAGGGCAGGACCCAGACCCTGCCTTCAACTAAACGAGGTAAGGAAACTCGACCACAACGTAGTGAGCGGCAGCACCGGCCGAGGGCAGGCAGAGCAGTGCAGGACTGTGAAGGAGCCATCACCTGGGTATGAGGCTGTCAGGGAAGGTGACTACTCCCTCTCTGGGCTCAAAGGTGAGGGCTCTGGATGACCTCCAAGTCGGCTTCCAGGTGCTCAGAACCAGCAGGCATGGGGGGTAAGAATGTGACTCAGGAGCCATGAGGCCTGAGTTCAAATCAGAGTCCCGGGCTCAAAACCCAGCTCTGCCCTCTGGGCCTATTTCCTCCTCTATAAAATGGGATGACAACAGTATCTGTCTCAGAGAGCCACAGTGAGAAGTAAAGGAGTTAACATAGAAAAAGTTCTTGGACTTTGGGAGTGCCATGTAAATACCCATTGAAGTTAGGATGATGCTTATTAGAAAGTGCAATTCTGCAGTTTTCCAAGCTGTGTACCCAACACAGGCAGAGACCACGCTCTTCCTTCCTCTGGTTGTTTGTCCCTCTTCCTCCACAGCTTCACAGAAACCCAAACCCAAACTCTGCTCATGAGGCCTGGAGAGCCCCTAGAACAAGACCTAGCCTCCTCTCGCTTATCCTGGCCTGCTGTTGGCCCTCGGTTCAGGGTGTCAGGACCACCGGGAACCCTAGAAGAAGCCAAGATGCCCAAGCCCCACTAGCCACCAAGGCAGCCAGAGCTATGGATTGTGAGGAGAAACCCAGGGTGAGTGTCCTGAAGGGGCCCCAGCCAGGAAGAGCTGCCAACTGGACTGGGGAGAGCCAGGCCCAGGGCAGTGCAGGAGCCCTGGGAGATGTCCTGCCCCTCAGTGGTGAAGAGGTGTAGGCTGCCGAACTTGAGAGCAGGTCGGGGGGCCTGGTGGTGGCAGGGTACCGGGACAAGGGCACACCCTGCCTATTTGAGGGAAATAAGAAAACACAAATAACTGACATGAGCAGAGAGAGGCAGGGGAGCTGAGGGGCTGGGTGGGCAGAAGTGTACACATCCTACAGAGCTAGGTTTTGTTGTGGAGTGCATGTATATTGGGGATACTGGAGGGGTGGTAGTTTGGGGGTAGGTTTTCCAAAGATAAAGGTTCTGTTTCTTCCTGATTGACCACCTGGCTTAAGAGTTTATCCTCAAATCATCATCACATCCTACCCAAAAGTAATGACGGCAGAATGCTCCCCATTCTAGGGACTGGGTTCTAAAGGTCCCACCACCTTCCCCATGACCTCCCGGTGGGATACTGGGGTTCTGAGAGGCCCTCCCCCATACCCAGAGGCCCGCCTTGGTGCCCCTCAGGCATGCTGGTTGGAAGAGATACTGCACTTGCCGTCTGAGGGCTATCCGCCTGCAGAGCCGTTCTTCCAGGCCAGCCCAGCACAGTCCTCTCACCCGGCCCTCCTCTGCTCTCAGGAAATACACCTGCTCACCTGACGGCCATCATCTGGGCCGTGAGCCCTGCCTCTGAACTGCCACTCTAGCCGCACCCTGCCTGACCTCCCAAACATGACAGGACCTACCTCTCCCACCCCAGGGAGGGGAAGGGGAAAGAACCAGCGTTTATCAAGCCCTTACTGAGTGCAAAGCATGTTAGTGTCTTTATGCTTGGTAGCAGCATTTCATATCACCTTGGAAGACAGTAAGTGCCACCATTTAAAGATGAGGAAACGGAGGATGGGTGAGGTTAAAGGATCTGCCCAAGGTCACCTGTCTAATACATGGTGGGACTGGGACCTGAACCTAAACCTGACTTCCCTGCAAAGGCTGTGTGTTTGTACCAATAACACCTCTTTTTTAGTGCATGCCTACTGTGCACTGGGCACTCTACTAGATACTTTACACCACTAATCTCCTGTGAACCTCAAAACAACCCTTCGAGCAGGTCTTCTTACCCCCATCTTACAGGTGAGGAAACTGGGGCTCAGAAGGTTAAATAACATGCTGACAGTGGCTCTGATGGTTAATTTTGTGTCAACTTGGCCAGGCCATGGTGCCCATGGTACACAGTTTTTTGTCAAACACCAGTCTAGATGTTGCTGTAAAGGTATTTTTTAGATGTGATTAACATTTAAATCGTTACTCTCCATAATGTGAGTAGGCCTCAGCCAACCAGTTGAGGCCTTAAGAAAAAAAGACCAAGGCCTCCCTAAGGAAGAAGGAATTCTGCCTCCAGACTGCCTTTGAACTTGAGCTACAACATCAGCTTCCCTGGGTCTCCAGCCTGCTGGCCTGTCCAGCAGAATTTCAACTTGCCCGCCCTCATAAGTGCATGAGCCAACTCCGTAAAATAAATCTCTCTCTCTCACCACATCCTATTGGTTCCATTTCTCTCGCGAACCTTGACTAACACAGTGGCAGAATGAGAATTATAACCTAGAACCACCCAACCCCTAGGACTGAGCTCTCACCCACTGCACTCTACAACTTCCCATTGATACATGTGTGTTTATTACTACTAATTGATAATTCACGATGATGATAAACAAGGAGACATGGCACTGCTGAGCATGACTGCATGCCGTTATTCGAATGTTTGGACTCAGCGTAAACACTAGCCCGTCACCCAGAGAGTGAAGTATTAGTTGTACCAACTTTGACGACAAGTTCAGGAAACAGACACTCCTGACCTTATTCACGTCACTTGTGTGTGGTTGAGAGCTCTCCTGCGTATCTCGTCTCCATCGCTGGAGGTATGCTGTTGTCACAGCTGTGAGGGTGGCCAGGAAGGGCCAGCCCTGTCTATTTACTTTGCTGGCAGAGCCCCACAGGCAAAGAGCTTCTGAAGTCAGGGCCAATTCTGCCAGACTCTGGGGTTGGGTTACCAAGCAGCCTCCTTACTTCCGTTGTCCTGTTCATCTGGACTGTGGGCTCCTCAGGGCAGGCACGCAGCCTTGTCCTCTGCTAAATGACCAGCCCCTGCCTGGACACCCACCAAGTGCTTGCTAAGTGAGAAGAGGCACCAGGGCAAGGAGGAAGGACACTTTATCTTCCTCGGCCCCACACTAAGACCTCTGACCTCTTTCTTGGTTGTGACTGGGATGTTCATCACTGAAGCAGGAAAGGAGGACAGGAGTGGGATGTGAGCATTGGCTCCAGCTGCCCCTGCTCCCACCCAGCCCGGCATGTGAGTTTCCTTGTAGCCGAGTGCTAATGGTGAGGCCAGTTCTGTCTGCCTCCCTGGGGTGAGGAGGAGCTGCGTGGCAGGTGTTGAGCTCTGTAGAGAGACGCACAGAATCACTGCAGAACCTCGGGAGGGTCAGAGGGAAGCAAACTGTGCAGCCTTCCTGCTGTTTCAGGGCTCAAGGCTGCACGCCATGCATAGGTTCCTGAGGGGACTCCAGAGGCCAAAGTCGTAGACTCATGGGGCAGGGCGAGGAACCAGCAGGTGCTAATACATCCGTGGTGTCAGATACTACCATTTACTCCTCTCCTGGCAGGCCCTGAGGTGGGCAGGATGCAGCCTTTAAAAGTGAGGAGACTGAGACTGGAGAGGTGAAGGCACTGGTGAGGGCCACAGCTCAGAGTGGCAGACCTGGGCTTCCTGCTCTGGTCTGTGTGATCCCCAACACAGCATGAGGCTCTGTCTCCAGGGCCCCTTACCTGCTGGCCTTTTTTTTTTTTAAAAAAAAACAGTAAATTTATTTTAACCTTTTAAAGAAAAGCAATGCATTTGCTTTTTAAATTATGAGGGTCCTGCAGGCTTGCTGAGAAAAATCCATAAGGGCATGCAGCATCTTATGAGAGATCCTCTCCACCCATGATCCCACCCCCTGAGTTAGCCCCACTAGTCCTTTGTGTATACTCTTTCCAGGGCCTTCTATGATACATGGGATTTTTGAACAATGGGATCCCCAATTTGTCAGGAACTTATTTCCCTGTCAGTATATAGAGATCTACCTTATTCTTTTTAATGACTACAGAGCATTCCACAGTATGGCGCTCCCACAGTTTACACAACCAATTTCCCACAGATGAGCGCCTTCCAGTCTTTTGCTTTTGTGAACAGTGCTGCAGTAAAAGAGTGTGGAAATCTGAGTGCACACTGAGCGAGTATTTACACGGGATTCATTCCTGGGGGAGACTGCAGGGCCAAAGGAATGCACACTGAAGTGTTCCACTCTCAGTGGCTGGAAGGCCACGTCCTCACCCTCTGGCCAACACAGTCCTCTCTGCCAGTTGAACAGGCTAAGTGACATCTCACCTGAAGACACCTTCTTTGATCAGTGAGTAGACTGAAAAACACTTCGTGTTTTCTGGCCATTTGTATTTGTCCTACTATGAACTGCTCGTTTCTATTTTTCTGTTGGGTGGCTTGTCTTGTAGAATTTGTGGGAACTTTTTATATACTATGGCTTTAACACATAGTGATTATGTTAAACAACTCCCTTCTGTTTCAATTATGAACAAGGAAGTGTTTCTACCTCCACTTCACCGATTTATCGATAAACAGAATCTATTAAATGACCACATCATACATATAGCACTGTAAGGGTGGCTGGGTAAATTCTGTCCTAGACATCTCTCCATGTGCCCTGAATCCTACTGATAAAGCTCCCTGAGATGCCACCACCATGCCCACCTCGCCCTGCTTGTGCGCCCACGCACCACGCTCTGGTCTGCATGTGAACAGCAGTATTACTTGGGGATATGGTCCCCACAAGGGTGTGCAGGAAATCCCAATATGGGACATTACTCTGCAGGGAACTTCTAAATGCCTTGAGCCCAGATGTAGGCATGGGGTGGGCCTGGGCAGACAGGTCACAAACCCCACAAATCATGGCCCTCTCTTCCCCTTTTACTCCCCTTGGTGTCCTCCGTGTGTGTCCTCACTCCCTGGTGTCCTTGCTCATTCTCAGCCCCTAGTGTCTTCCCTCTGCTTCCTAACCCTCGTCACCTGTCTCAAAGTCAGAACGGTATGTATATTAGTGCTGAGTGATGGATCACACCTGGTTAACCATTCCTCTCTTTTGAGAAAGGCTGGGTCTCCAAAGCCATTCTAGCCATCAGCCACCCAACAGGGAGTAGGTTACCCTGGGGGATGGGGGATACCTTCTCTTGGGCCCTGAAATCACACCAAACCTACTTTGGGCATTCCTGGGGGTCTGGGTGGGATCAGAAGGCTCTCCCTTCATCCTACCCCACCACATACCCTGAAGAGGAAGAAGGTCTGCAAAATCCCAGGACTTGCTTTGCAGGTTCAAAGCAGCACGGCTCAAGACTTTGGGCCTCTCTGCTGCAGGCCCAGGCAGGAGCCTGTCCCACCTCAACAGCCCCCGCCCTGCCTTAACTCTGACACCATCTACCTCCTTCTCCAGAGCCCATCTTTGTGGGATGGGCCTACTTTTCTGCCCTGAATCACCACCTGTGGCCAGGATCTCCTTCAGCTGAAACCAGCAGCAAGATCAGGATGTCCCCCTGGCAGTACATCCTCTCATGATCCTAGTTCCCTCCGAGGGAAGGGAGCAAGGATCAGCTGGATGTGCTGGCACTTAGGTCGAGGGAGGAGAGAAGCTGGGGGATGGGGCAGGAAGCAGGGAAGGGGCGGCACTAGCAACAGGGAAGGCCAGGGGCTGAGGAATGGATTCTGGGTGTCCCTGAAGGTAGACATAGCATGATGATGATGATGATGAATATGGGGACAGAACAGTACAGGGTACCAGAGAAAAATGTTTACACTGTTGCTGATAGTGGATAAACAAAAGAGAACCAACAAGTGAGACAAAAGAAGCTAAAAACTGTCTGGCTGCACAAAAGTATTATTAATTACAGTCATTCATACTAACTGCTTAGCATTTACGCCTAACTACAATGTAGCCGATGATGTGTATAATTAGCACAAGATCAACTGAGTTGTAAATTTTGACTGATCATAACAATCACAGGTACAGCTGATTTTTCTAGTGGGTTGCTAATGCAGACTGGTCCCAGATGCCCTGTGGTAGTGGTGGTGGGAATAATAATGACAGTGACATGTGTTACAAATGCTAACTCATTTAATTCTCACAAAAGCCCATGTCCACAGCCCCTAGGATCCCTGTCTGTTTTACAGAAAGAAGTGGTGCAACTTGTCCAAGACCCTGCAGCTGATGAGCAACAGAGCAGGGGTGTGAACCTAGGCTGTCTAGCTCCCATCCTTAACCTCTCTGCTACTCTGCACCCCCAGGATGCTGTCTGCAGAGGGCCAGGTTCCCTGTTCCGCCCAGTTGTGCCTCCTCTGCCCACATCCCCTGCCGGCCCCTCCTCACCTGCATAGCTGCTAGAAGGAAATGAGTGCTCTGGTCCCCCATTGAGCTCTGGGGCTCTTTCTGCTTCTGCCACTTCCTCTTTCTCCTCTTCTTCCCGGACCTCAGGGGCTTCCTCCGGTGGCTGCTCCATGGCTGATTTCCCCTCGGCGCCACGCCTGCAGGCCCGGTCATAGCTCTGGCATCATCTAGGTCTGAACGCAGATGGACCTCTACAGGGCAGTTCCCATCAGCCTGGGAAAAGGGGAAGACAGGAAGAAGTTGGGGGAGGCAGAGAGGAGGTGGAGAGGGTGATGGGAGTGGGGCATGCTTGAGGGCTACCATCCAGGGGACAGGATGAAGGGGGTTCCCCTGCTCCTTCAGAGCAGGAACGCCTCATCCCTGCAGTGCTATCCCATCACCTCCACTCTTTGCATCTCAAGTCACTTCCCCTCCCACCCTTTGTCAACTTGGCTCCTGCAGCAGGTCTTTGGAGTAAGAGTAGTCTCCATTAACCAGAGAGGGTGAGATACCACTGTGCCACCTTTCCCTGCCTCCTCTGCTGCATCCTGCTCTTGAGCCTCCTGAGTCAAGAGGAGCCACATCAGAATGGCCTGAGGGGCTTTTTAGAACTCTCCAGTCCCCCAGGAGATCCCAATATGTAACACACCTCCCAACTCCCATCCTGAACCCACCAGCACTCAGGCCCAAGAATCACTGCTCTCCCAAGCCAGAGTTCTTGAAGGGAGTGGGTCCTATCCTTTCTGTGTTTGGGTGTGGAAAAAAAGACATGAGCCCCTGCTACGCTGTGTTCACAGTTGACAGCAGATCTGCAACTAGATCCTCAATGGCACAGCCATCAGGCAAGGGGAGATGCACTCTGTCTAGGAATCTTTCCAAGTGGGCTTACTGGGCGATGACCCCCATGCCCACATCACCCAGTAGGAGGCAACTCCAACCCTCAGCAAGTAAAATATTGTCCACAAATCCCACAGACAGAGGAGGTAAGATCATGAGGTGCTATGGGAGATGCCTTGAGAGTGGGGTGGATTTTGACCAGAGATGGTATGGAACTTGTCCTGGTGATACAGCAAAAGAAAAGACTCAGAGGCAGCACAGCAGGGAATGGTGAGGAGTCCTGTTGGCTAGGGAGTGGGGTGATATAGGAGAGACAATTTGGAGGGAAGGCTGGGGAGGTGAGCTGTATCCAAGCATGTGCACTTCAACTGCCCTGGTGCTGGGAGTGACTGGACTCCGTCCTGCAGCAGTGCAGGCCTGGCGGAAGGATCAGGAGCAGAAAAGACCTGCTTTAGGGAGATTCAAGCATCTGTGAGACTCCTCTTGGATGTCCCATAGGCAGCTCAAACTAAATCTATCCAAACAGAACCCATCATCTTCCCCCAAACCTGCCCTTCCTCTGGGAATCCCTACTATAGTGACCCACACGCCCATCTACCTACTTATCAAAGCCAAAAAGCGGGAGTCAGCTGAGACTCTTCCCTCTCTCTTACCCCGCTCTAGGCTTGCAAAGTTGGCTGTACACTGGAATCACTGGGGAGTTTTTAAAAATATGGATGTCTGGGTCCATCCCCAGAGATTCTCATTTGACTGGGTTTCGGGAGCAGCTTGGGCATTGAGATCTTTATTTTATTTTATTTTATTTATTTATTTACTTATTTATTTATTTGCAGGGAAAGATTCGCCCTGAGCTAACATCTATTGCCAATCTTCCTCTTTTTTTCCTCCCTCCCCAAAGCACTAGTACATGGCTATATATCCTAGTTGTAAGTCGTTCTAGTTCTTCTATGTGAGCCGCCGCCACAGCAGGCAACTGACAGATGGGTGGTGTGGTTCCACGCCTGGGAAACGAACCCTGGCCGCCGGAGCGGTGAGCGCTGAACTTTAACCTAGTGGCTAAGCTCAGGATATTTATTTTTAATTCCCCTGGTGACTGTAACGTGCAGCCAAGCTTGAGAACCACTGCTCCATAGCAAAGCAACTTGCAGCTGATAGTAAATGATTCCCTGTAATCATTCCTTTTCATCAGGCTTTCATCTTCCCTCGTTTGGACTGACACAGTAACCTCTTAGTTGGTCTCCTAAAGGCAGTTTGGAAATTCAGCCCCAGAGTCTAAGAGCAGGGGAGCTGGGAATCTGTAGACTTAAGGGCATCTTTGTTGATGTGACAGCCACAGGAAAGGATTCAGTTCACCAAAAGAGAGAGTGACATGTCAAGGAAGGACAGAGGAAGAGGCACCAGAGCAGACAACAGGGCAGTGGCCAGAGGCAGGAGAGACTTGGGACAGCAGGGCGTCTCAGAGCCAAGGGAAGGGCTGTTTCAGGGGGCAGAGGTCAACTGTCTCAAATGCTACAGAGTTTAAGGGTGATAAACTGACACATGACCCCTAGATTCAGTGACTGTGAGGTCATCAATGATCTTGTGAGACAAGTTTCTGCCAAGTGGTTGGGATGGAAACCTGGGCTCTAAAGAATAAGTGGTAGTGAGGAAGCCACGACAGTGAATGGAGACTAATTTTTTGGTTAATATGTCAAGGAAAGGAACGTACAAGAGGATGCTGAAGGTACAAGAGGATGCTGGCCTGAGAAAGCAGTAATGCCAGGAAAAGGTTTTTTGGACTAGAAGAGACTCAAGTAAGCTGTGGATGGAGGAGAGGTCTGCAAAGAAAGACAGTCTGAAGATCAACGGGGAAGCTGAGGCAGGATGATTGATGGGAGGGGAATAATTCAAGGATGCCAGATGAGGAAAATATAAAGAAGTATCATAGCAGTTGGGGAGGGTTAAAGCTCACCCAGAATGGCCCCACTCTTTTTAGTTAATAAAGTAGGAGGGACAGTTGTCTACTAAGAGTCAAGATGGGACTTGAAGAAAGCAAAGAGGCTGGGTAGAAGCACTCTGGCAAACATCATAGGGAATTAGCTGGAGAGGAATAAAAAGAATTATAGTAACGCTACAATAATTAAAACAGTGTGGGGCCGGCCCCGTGGCTTGGTGGTTGAGTGAGCGCGCTCCACTGCTGGCGACCCGGGTTCGGATCCCGGGCTCGCACCGATGCGCTGCTTCTCCGGCCATGCTGAGGCCGCGTCCCACGTACAGCAACTAGAAGGATGTGCAGCTATGACACACAGCTATCTACTGGGGCTTTGGGGGGAAAAATAAATAAATAAAATCTTTAAAAAAAAAAAAATAAAACAGTGTGGTACAGGCACATGAATAGACAATCAATAAAAGAGAATACAGAGTCCATAAATAGATGCAAACACATATGAAATTTTAATATGTTATAAAGACAGCACTTCAAATCAAAAAGAAAAGATGGATTCTTCAATAAATGGTATTGGGGCCGGCCCTGTGGCTTGGTGGTTAAGTGCGCGCGCTGCAATGCTGGTGGCCGGGGTTCGGATCCCGGGTGCGCATCGAGGCACCACTTCTCCGTCCATCCTGAGGCCGCGTCCCACATACAGCAACTAGAAGGATGTGCAGCTATGACATACAACTATCTACTGGGGCTTTGGGGGGAAAAATAAAATAAATAAAATCTTTAAAATAAATAAATAAATAAATAAATAAATAAATGGTATTGGGACAACCAAGTAGCCATCAGGAAAAATTAAGCTGGATTCCTACCTCACACCTTATACCAAGCCAAGGGCTAAATAAATTTTAAAATTTCAAGTTAAAACAAAAATAGATAAACTATTAAAAAAAATACATAAACTATAAAAGTAGTCTTGAGGTGCGGAAGAGCTAAGCCTAACACTAAACTCATAAAAACTTTATGGGTTAAAAGATGATGGGTAAAAGATTAATAAGTTTCATTATATAAAAATATAAACTTTCTACATGGTAAAAAACCATTGTAAGAGAAAAAACAGATAATAAACTGGGAAAAATATTTGCAACTCTCATCAAAGGGCTAGTTTCCCTAAAATATTTCCTACAATTAATAAGTAAAAGACTAGCAATCTAATAGAAAAATGGGCCTGGGATATGAAAAATGTATACAGAAAAGGTATATACATTTGGAAAGATGCTCAACATCATTCATAAAAAGAGAAACACAAATTAAAACAACAATGAAATAATACTTTTTACAATCAGATTAAAACAAATGCTAACACTTTTTTTTTGGCGAGGAAGATTAGCCCTAAGCTAACACCTGTGCCCATCTTCCTCCACTTTATACGTGCGACACCTGCCACAGCATGGCTTAATAAGCAGCGTGTAGGTCCGCACCCGGGATCCAAACCTGTGAACCCTGGGCCGCCGAAGCAGAGCACGCGAACTTAACCACTATACCACCAGGTGGGCCCCAAATGCTAACACGTTTTTGCTAAGCATATGGAGAAATAATCCCACACATTGATGGAAAGGTAGAAGGGTAAATTGGTACAACCTCTAAAGATGATAATTGGGCTACGACTATCTAAATTACAGGTGCACATTCCCTTTGACCCAGAAATACCACTTCTAGGTTGTACCCTACAGCTATACTTCCACTTAAGCAAAATGACATAAAGTATTAGTACAAGGTTATTCACTACAGTATTATTTAACTAGTATGAGGTGGGGAACAAGCTAAATGTCCATTAACAGGGAACTTACTAAATAAATTATGATATGGAAACATGGAATTCTATGCAGCCACCAATAAGAATGATGATGTTTATGGACTGATATGGAAGTATCTCTAAGATATAATGGAGAGAGCAATTTACATAATGAAGTGAAGAGAGCTATACTCCATGCACAAAAGATATACTGAAGCTGTATTTGCTTGTATATGTGTAAGATAGCTTTGGAGGGCTACATAAGAACTGGGAGCACTGGCTGCATTTGGGGAGGGAGTGTCTGGGTCACTGACAGGAGAGACATTTTTCACTGTACCTTTTAAATTCAGAACTATAGGCACGTTACCTATTCTAAAAATAATTTAAATTTGAATAAAATTAAAAGGCAAAACTTAACAAGCAATAACGTAAAAGATGAGAGGGAGTGATCAGCACTCAACTGCTCAAGTCCTTTGATTTTTCAGGAGACAGCTGGAGATGCTGATAAACTTTATTATTTTTTTTAAATTTTTTAATTTTATTTATTTTTTCCCCCAAAGCCCTAGTAGATAGTTGTATGTCATAGCTGCACATCCTTCTAGTTGCTGTATGTGGGACGCGGCCTCAGCATGGCCGGAGAAGCGGTGCATCGGTGCGCGCCCGGGATCCGAACCCGGGCCGCCAGCA